CCTCCCCACGTATCTGGAGGCTGGATGCTAGCCCTGCCCCTCCCCATCCTTCTCTTCCTCCTCGTCTGTGAAGTGAGTCTCTTTCTTCTGAACATTCCAGTGGAGACAGTGGGCCAGGCTCTCAAACCAGTCACTCACAGAGTCCTGGACGCAGATGGAGGGCAGCGGGTAGCAGGAGATGGTGATATTGATGCAGTCCCCATGGCAGATCTCCTGTGTCTTCCGTCCATCAAAGAACACCCATGCGGTGTTCCTGGCTTCTGGGGACAGAGTGATCTTTAGCTCCATGCCAGCAGGGACAATAGGCCGGAAGGATAGGGAGTGTGGGCAGATGGGGGTGATCACGATGGCTGGTACATTGGGGTGGATCATGGAGGCTCCTGCTGCAGCTGCTAGGCTGTGCTTCCCGTCGGTGTGGATACAATCACTCCATCACCCTGCACAGTAGTGATGAGGTGTCCTTCAGGTAAACGTCCAAGTTGGAGAGGTAGGAGGAAGGACCTTTGTCAATCACCACCTCTTTTAGAACCTAACACTGCATGACCTGCTTGCTGACCTCGGGGTCCGGGTCCAGTGTGCCGTTCTCTCGGATTGCATTGGTAGCCACCGCCTTCTTCCCTCTAAGTTCCTTCACAACTCGAACTTTGAGCCGACTCCAGAGGACAATGGCTGCATTCCCCTCTATCACCTGAGTAACTTGGGACTGGAAGTTCTCAAAGTTGAAGGGGGTCAGGAAGCCCAGGGAGCCCAGGTGGAAGGCCATGACAGGGGGCACGCTGCCCTGAAAGAGGGAGGAGGCATAGAGTAAGGTCCCATCTCCCCCCAGACAGATGATGACGTCGATTTGATTGGAAATGTCATCATAATCTTCTCTGAAAGTACAAAATTTCTTCTTCACTGGTCCAAAATTCTCATCACTCACAATAGCAGGGTCTTCCAGAACTTTTTTTTCCACATATACAATCATGTTGTTCTCCTCCATGAGGTACACACAGAGTTCCTTGAAGGGCTGCAGCAGGCTGGCATCTCGAATTTTCTTGATGACGAGAACGCTCTTTGGAGCCTTGTTCCAAGTCAACCTCTGACTCGCAGGGTCCTGGACATGCATGATGGTCTGAGGGCTCGGCAGCACACAGGCTTTTGGTCCAAAAGTCACTGGACATGGCCCATGCAGGGTCCTCCTGAACTCCTTGGTGCTCCCCAGGGCAGGAGAGGCAGACAGACTGCGGGACTTGGCCCGGCCCCGGATGGGGTGGCTGTGGCTCCAATCCTCATCCCCAAGGCAGGCCGCACAGCGGAACGGCCCCAGCTCCGGGCTCAGCTCCCTGCTCAAGCTGTTCTTCTCCCAGCTCCCTGCTCAAGCTGTTCTTCTCCCGCTCCATTGCCACAGCTGGTGGGCGGGGACGATGGGCAGAGAAACACGGATGCCGTTTGCTACAGACGCAGTCTCCTGCAGGCGCGCCTACATGCCCGGCGGAGCCCGCGGGTCTCACAGCCCCACCGCCGCCGCAAGCTGTAAATTTTTTTTATTAGTTTATTTATTTTTCATTTCAATGAACATCTACAGAGATTTTGGAATTCCATTCATTCATTGTTGCACCCTTCTCCCCGCCCCCCTCCACCTCCCCACCCCACCGCCTGTTTGCTCCTCTCCTTGAAAAGCAAAAGAAAAACTCCTTCATTGGTACACAATCCCCTCCCCCGCACACGCCCAACCCCACCCTCACCCCAAATATAATCCACCCTGCAACCCTCATTCCATACTCTTATGATAAACATAATGCCCTAAAATATAATACTTTTAAACTATTCTCTCCCTCACAGACTTCAATGCAGTAAACATGATTTATCCAGTTTTTCTCAATCTTACCCCCACCCCAATGTCAGCCTCATTCTTTAACAGTGGCACCATATAGCATTTGTCCCTTTGTGACTGAGATATTTCACCCAGCATCATGTCCTCCAGGGTCACCCATTTTGAATAATATTGCATGAGTTCCTTGGTTTTCAATGCAGCATAGTATTCCATTGTGTGAATATACCATATCTTCTCTATCCATTCATTTGTTGATGGGCACTTAGGTTGTTTCCAACTCCGTGATACTGTAAACAAAGCCGCGATAAACATGGGTATGCATATATCTACTTGGATGTCGTTTATAGTCTCTTTAGGGTATATCCCTAGTAGTGGAATTGCTGGGTCAAATGGTATCTCTATTTGCAACTTTTTGAGAAAGCACGTGGCAAGCTATAATTTTTAACAGCTTCAATCTCCATCTGTCATGGTGCTGCCAATTGGCCCAGTGGTATGAATTGTTGTCTTCTTGATGTTAAGCTTCAATCCATATTGAAGACTATAATCTTTGACCTTCTGTAGGAAGTGCTTCAGGTATTCTTCAGTTTCAGCAAGCAAGGTTGTGTCATCTGCATAATGTATATTGTTGATGAGTCTTCTTCCAATTCCTCTTAATATAGCCCTGCTTCCCAAATGATCTGTTCTGCATATAGATTGAAAATGCATACATCACTGATGCACTCCTTTCCTGATTTAGAACCATGCTGAGTTTACCTGTTCTGTTCTGGTCCAAGTATAGGTTTTGCATAAACACAATCAAGTGTTCTGAGATTGTCATTTTTGTCACGGTTTTCCCCATTCTCCTTAAGGTTAGCTACAGTTTGTTGTGATCCACACATTCAAATTCCTTTGCATGGTCAATGAAACACAGTTAGACATTCTTCCGGTACTCTCTAGTTACTGCCAAGATCCAGCTGACACTGACTCCCTAGAGCCACGACCTCTTCTAAACCCATCTTGTATTTCTGGTAGTTCTCTGTCAATATACTGTTCCAGTCATTTCTGGATAATCTTCAGCAGTCTTTGGCTAGTGTGAGATATTAGTGATGTCGTTTGATAATTTCCACACCCTGTCAGGCCACCTTTTTTTTGGGGGGGAGGGATGGGAATAAACATGGATCTCTTCCAGTAAGCTGTCCAAGTAGTTGTCCTCCAGATTTCTTAGTATAACTCAATGAGCACATCCAGGACAGTATCTATTTGTTGAAATTTGTCAATTGGTATTCCATCAATTCCTGGTGATTTATTTTTTTGCCAAATCCTTCAGAGCAGCCTGTCTCAATTCAATGCTGACTCAATTCAATTCTGCTTCATTTGCTTGGAAACATTTCTTAATTTCACTAAGCTTCAGTTTTTCCACTTGTAAAACGAGAATAATTGGCACTACTTCAAAGAGTTGTTGTGCAATAAGATTTGTAAACTGTCATTCAAATAAAACAGATTTGACAAGAAACAGAAAGAGTTGTGAGAATCTGTGAGGTGTTTAACCCAATGTGATGGGAGGAACAAGGGTGGTCTTCTTTGATTAAAATTTAAAGAACAGCTCACTTTCTTTGAGTCAGAACTGACTCATAGCTGACCCTTCAGCAAGTTTTCAGATGCTATAAGTCACATGAGAAGATGTTGTCCATCTTTCTTCAGCAAAGCCACAAGGGGATTCGAACCACCACAGAGATAATGCCTGTGAGTGAGCAGCACAGCAGACTGTTGTTGGTAGATGCCATCAAGTTGACCCATAGTGGCCCTGCAAACAACAGATCTGAATCCTGCCCCATGGTGCCTTCTTCATCTCTGCTATTCTTGAACCAATGGTTACAGTCACTATGTTGGTCCATCTCATTGAGGGTCTTCCTCTCTTTTATTGACCTTCCATGTAGTAGCTGGTGGATTGGAACTCTCAGCCTTTTGTTTAGCATCCAACCACTTTAGCCACTGGACCGTCAGGGCTCCCCTACAATGGCTGGAGTCTAGAAAGTGGCCTGCTTCACAGAGGTTACCACAGAACAGGGGATGATCTTCCATGAGGCTGCCTGGGGACAGGTCTGAATCTACGCCTCAGAACCCCCATTTCCCTGTCACTGGCATGACAGGTGACGGACTTTTCCACCTTATTGCTCTTTCAGAGCAACATCTGGTGACAGCTGTCAAACCTGAGGAAACCAGGCCCCCGCCCATACCTTTCTGACAGACCTCACGCACCCAGCATCCCCACTTACGGTGCCAGGATGGCTCCAGAGCACCGAGCATCTGGTCTGGGAGGAATGGAGGCAGCCAGTGTCCTCGGTTGCACCAGGCCTCATTTCTGAAGGAAGAAAGTCCTGCACGAGGCTGGCCATCCTCCAGTGAAGTCTTCTCTGGTGTCCACAAGCATGTGGTTGCTGCCCTGAGCCTCTATGCCTCATCTGTAACCCAGGGATTCTCCTGCCACATCACTAGGCCACTATGAGGAGCAAGAAAGAAAATCTGTAGTAAAGTACCACACATATTACTTGTCTCATGGAAGGTTTCTCAGGAAGTTTTCCTTTCTATGTCTGTGTGACCTGCTTAATGGGCACAGATACTAGGACAAGTAAGACAGTATCTGGCTTGCTTAAGGTGAGCGTACAGTTGGGATTCCTTCCTAGGAAAGTCAGGTCAAAGGGTAAATTCAGAACAAGGACAAGACAGAGTCTGGACAAGGACAGTCATGGGATTCTCAGATAACACGTATCATGGAATAGACTGGCTGCATTTCTGGAGCTGATGAGCCACTTTCTAAATAAGATCTTAGTCTTAGAGTGATTTACGATGAGAAAGGTAGAATATCAGTGAAAGAGAGGAAAACTCTCAACAAGGTCCGTCAACACTGTAGCTTGAGTGAGGAGAAGATGGTTCAGGATATGGCAGGTTCTGGGCTGTCATTCTTGAGATAGCTGTAAGTGATGATCAACTTGACAACACCTAACGACAACACGAAATGAAATCCTCACAAACAGAGTCAAAATGTGTAAGCAAACGGCATGAAAAGAGGCTGCTTGCCACAAACATTGAGTAAACACCGTGACTAGTGCCTCCCAGGGGAGAGGAGGTGGCCTGGCCATGGCTGAGCCTTTTGACTTTCTAACTCTGTCTTGTCTCCTGTTCCTCCAGGTGGGTCTTCCTTCAGCTCTGCCCTGTGCGAGAGGCTCCTCAACATGAGCTACAGCCTCCACTTGACCTTCATGTGTCTAAGTCTCTTTGCTCAAAGGTAAACGTGGCCACCCACAGAATCGGAATTGCTACGTGTATTCATGCACAGAGTGAAGGTGGCAGCTCTTTTCAAGCATCTATGTGGCTGCTTTTGTTGTTGTTGTTTGCCATCAAGTCAGAACCAACCCGTAGTTGACCTCCAGCAAGTTTTCAGAGGCAGTTTATCCCACAGGAGGAGACTGACGACCCTTTTCCTACGGAACATCCGGTGGATTCAAACCCTATCTCCTCGGGATTGCAGGGAAGCTTCTTACCTCTGCGTCATCAGAGTATGTTGATGTGGTTGTGGCTAGGTGCCACCAATTCAGGTACAACCGATAGTGACCCTTTGAAAAGCCGAACTGAACCCTGTCCTGTTCTGTACCATCCTCATCTATTCTGGCACACTAGAGTCCATTGCTGAAATCACTGTGTCAATCCATTTCATTAGGGGTCTTCTCCTTTGCTGAGCTCCCCAGAGTAGGACATATTTGAGGTTTTGGGAAAGGTAGAGGTTCAGTGAAAGAGAAGCAGACCCTTAACTAGACAGATTGGCACAATGACTGTAGCAGTAGGCCTGAGCACGTTAGAGATTGGGGGGAGGGCCCAGAAGAGGGCAAGGTTCAGATCTGTTGTTCAGAGCATCTCTAGGAGCCGCATTCAACTCAATGACACTAACCACATGACAAGGCAAAGCCTGTCTTTCACCTACCTGCAAAAACAGAGCCACAAAACTCCCTGCCCTTTATTCTACCAAGTGTGCAGTGGTAAAAGGGATTCTGGCCTTCTACTGTGGGAAATCTAGCTTCCACTGCTGGCCAAGGCCCCTCATGCATAGTCACTAATCAACTGTCAGTGAAGGCATGAGTGTTGCTCTGATGCTAAACAGATTTCAGAGGAGCTTCCCAATTAAAATGGACTAGAAACAAAGGACTGGTAATCTTCCAAATATCACCATGGTCTGATTCCATTGCACATGGATCATCCGCAATTGGGGGCTGACCCAACGACAGATAATAACAATAAGTTTATTCTGTCTAGAGAACTCAGCCCACTGTTATCAAGTCGGTCTTAACTCATGGTGACCTTACACCGAGTTCATCAAGGGTGTAAAACAAATGAACTTGGAGTAGGCTGCCTCATCTTTTCTCCAAAGAGAGGCTGTTGGGTTCCTACCATCAAACTTTCAGTGAACAGCTTAGTACATAATAAGTTATGCCTTAAGCTTTCAAAATAGTCATAGGTGAATGAATCTCTTGTGTTTGTTGAGAAGATACTTGAATAATTTCTTAATTACTAAGCCATTCTGATTAAAATTCAAAATATCTCTTTGCAAGAGTCACTGTTGGTACAGGGGCACCAGCAGACACACACACACACACACACACACACACACATAAGCATAATGTCAGGCTCATGTGTGTTTATGTTTCTGGATGCATGAACAAGCATGTAGATGGAAAATCCATTCTGTTTTCTAGGATGTGCGTCTGGGGGAATCAGTTTAACATCGAAGTCAGCAGACGTGACAAGCTTTCCCTACCTGGCTTTGACAACCTCACAGCAGGGTATAATAAATTCCTCAGGCCCAGTTTTGGCGGTAGGTCATCTTTTTTTTTTTTTTTTTTTTGTTCAGAACATCCATTCGAAGGGACAGGAGCAGAGACAATATCCAGAGGAGGGTTCCAGAAGGTTGTAGTTCACTGCTCTTCGTCTCTGCAACTTGCTTAAGGATTGGCAGTGACGGATGAGGAACACTGACAGTGGTTCTCTGTGCCACTTTTGAGAAAGCACTTTACCTTTCCAGCAACAAGTTAAGGAAATATTCTTCCCTACTGAGGGTGCTAAGAGAGTCACCCTACAGTCTCTCACACACAGCCTTCCCTCCTTCTGTCCCACTTTCATTGTTTTCTCAAGCAGCTCACAAGTCCCACCAGGACCACCATGTCTGGTCTTCCTGCCTCTAGTCTAATCCCCAGCACTGCCACTTGAATGACCCCAGCCCTGGGCCATTTGTCTGCTCAGGACAGTTGTGACACCCGGCACGCTCAAGATAGAGCCCAGAACCCTTTGAAAGGCACACCAGGCCCCTCATGGCCCAGCTCCCCCTGTCTGCCATCTCATCTTCCCACACCCTCCCCCTGCACCATCCCACACTGCTCCTCAGTTCTAGGCTGTGGCCTTTTGAAGGAGTCTTATTTATTTGCTTTGATAACACCAGCAGCAACTTTGTGCTTGTGACATACATAGCAGCTTTTCAGGAAACATTTGTTGAAAGAATGAGAGACAAAAGAAGGGAGTTAGACCAGCTGCATACCTCTTCACTGCGTCTCAGTGTCTTTATTTGTCAATATGATTTTGAATTAAGGTGATTTCTACATCCTCATTACAGACCAGAAAATGCTGGGAATAATATTGGATCCTAACACTCTAAAGTTGTGTGGTAATTTTAACCGTGTAAGTGCCTCAGCTTTGCTGAGACTCCCTTTTACTTGCTGTAAAATAGAAAGAGGTATCTACCTCCCAGGGAGGATTGAAGGTGATAAAAAGCATTATGCTTTTGAGTATTCAGCATAGTACCTGCTACTTTTTCCTTCCTCCTTCTCCCAGCAGATGATAAAATTCTCTGGTCGGATCTGTGATTAGTGTACGAGTTCAAGTCCTCTGAACAGGTTTCAGGTGAGCCTTTTGGACTAAGATGAACTAGGAAGAAAGGCTTGGCAATCTGCTTCCAAACTCAGACCATGAAAAGCCTATGAGTCATGATTGCCTGATTCACAGCCAGTGACAATCATGGCACAGGACTGAGCAGTGTTGTTCCACTGTGCGCGGGGTTTCCCATGAACCGAGGCAGACCGGATGGGAGCTAACTACAACATGTGTTAAGAGACTTAAGAGTTCAGTCTCCTCTGGCTTTCCCAGGCCTTAGTGAGCACTAATGACTAGGGCATGCGTATGCGCACCTCAGTTAAGTGCACCTAATGGTTTCTTCTGCCTCTTGAATCCCACACAGTTAGGCTGGAGTATGACCCTTCTTATCCACCAGCTCGCTGGCCAACAAGGTAGAGGAGCATTGAGCAAAGAGCTCATAGTGAGAACATGGAGCCAGAGTGGACTTAAGGGACGTGAGGCCCTGAACCTAAAAATGGATCAAAAACAAGGGACAGTACAGTACCTCATTCATGAAGCTCCTGTCAGTCTTCCATTGAAGTACCCGGTCTCTCTGTGGCAGGAACCTTGATAGCATAATAAGTAACATACTGGGTTGCTAATCAATCTAAAGGTCACCTGTTCCAATCCACCTGTGGGCCAGTAGGGGAAAGAGAGGCAGTCTCCTCCTGTAAAGATTTTACTGTCTTGGAAGTCTAATGGATGGAGGTACATTGAATCAATTCCAACTGAAAGGCCTGGAGAGGCTCATGGTGCAATTGCTTTGACGCAGCTGCTTTCTGTAATGTCTGTCCATACAAGCTCTAGGACACAGATATCCTAAAGAGACGGACTTCCACGGAAGTTTTCAGAAGCTGAGTTGGCCAGAGCTGAGTTTGCAAGCAGGTCCCAGTGAACACTGTCCAGGAATCAGCTCTGACCTCTTTCCTAGGAGAAAGCTGCCCTCTGGTGGCACAGCTAAATTCTAGAACTCAAAGAGAAGATGGTGCGAGCCCTGGTCCATGAGAAAAGGCCTGGACTAGACAGTCTAGAAACAAACAAAAACCACAGTGCGGCTGGAGCTTTTCTGAGCTGTCCATCCTTCACATTGCTCTGTGAGGAAAACAAACACTGGCCAACTGCCCACCAGATTCAGGCATTCAAAGCAAATGCAGTCACCTTGTCAGCACAGCCCTGGACGGTGGACAGTCTCACAAGTGGAAAAGCTATAGCACAGAGTGTTAACGACATGTGCAAGACCACACAGCTAGCAAGGGGCCAGCACGTGACTCAAGCACGTCTATCTACACCCAGCCTTCTCCTCTAGAGCCTCCTCTGTATGCTCAAAGCGAGAAAAACCATTAACACCACATTCCTGCAGCATCTTTCAGCATCTGCCATCCAAGGCTGCCTTCTTTACACAAAATTTTAATACTTAATTTTTTTATTGACTTGCCCTTAGAATTCCCTTTCCAAATATTTTCTCTATATTCAGTGACTTTGTTGCATTAGAAACCAACCTATACGTGGCTCAAGAGGCGGTTGTGTGAACAGAGCAAGATAATAATGCATGCTTTAAAATTAGGAAAGGTGTGCATCACGGTTGTATCCTTTTTCTATATCTATTTAATTTATATTCTGACAAAATTATTTGAGAAACTGGACTCTATGAAGAAAATGTGGCATCAGGATTGGAGGAAGATTCAGCAGTAGCTTTTGTTATGGAGATGACACAAACTTGCTTGCTGAAAGTGAAGACTTGAAGCATTTGCTGTAGAAGGTTAAACACTGCATCCTTCAATATGGAGTGCATCTCATTGTCTAGAAAACAAAACCCCTCACCATTGGAATGATAAGTAATATCATGACAGACAGAGAGAGAACTGAGACAGTCAACGACTTCATCTTAGTTGGATCCACAATCAGTACAATTGGCACCAGCTGTCAGATCAGGAAACGTATTGCAGTGGAAAAGTCTGTAGGTATAGACCCCTTCAAATCATTGAGGAGTAATGATGTCTGTTTGAGGACCAAGGTGTTCCTGATTCAGCTCATGGTCTTTTCAGTCACTTGCTATGCATCTGAGAGCTGGACAATGACTAAGGATGACAGAAGAAGAATTGATGCCTTTATTGGCATCATAGTTCTAATCTCACCCTCACCACTTATCTCCAATATACGAATATACCATGGACTGTCAAAAACAAAAAAATCTGTGAATAAACAGATAAGTCCTGGAGAAGGTGAAACTAGAGTGCTCCTTGGGGACAAAGATGAAACGTTATCTCACATACTTTGGGCATGTTCCTTGACAGGCTATTCTTTCAAGAGGGACATCATGCTTGTGAAGGTGGAAGCATGGCAAAAGAAGAAAAACGCTTCACACGTGGTGACTGGGGCAATGGGCTTGTGTATGTCACAGATTGTGAGGATGACACGAAATAGGACAATGTTCAGATCCATTGTTCATAGAGTTGTTATGAATCTTACTCACCTCAATGGCACCAAACAAGAGGCTTTTAAATTCCACCTCTACTTTTCCTGATTAATGTACTGTCCCAGCTTATCTATTAATCTGTAAGGACAGTTTTTAACCTTTCTGAAAGTTACTAAGAATGTGTAAGAGAGAGGCAGTGCCATGTACTTAGTATATAATGATTGCTTAGTGGTAAGGAATTGTGCTGCCATTGCAAAGGTAGGTGGTTTGATTCCACCAGCTGCTCCCTGGGAGAAAAGACAGACCATCTCCTGGGTGATTTACTGGCTCTGGAAACCCACCGGAGGGTCAGCTTTGCATCAGTTCCAACTCAGTGGAATACAGCAACAACAGTGTTAGTTACAAAGAGCTCTGGTAGCCTCGTTGATAAGGAGTTGCATTCCCAACCTAGAGAGGTGCAGCTCAAAATCACTAGCTTCTCTACAGGAGAAAGATGGACTGTCTCCTTCTATGGGATTTACAGCCTCTGAAAAACCCACTGGAGGGTCAGCCATGAGCTGATTGCAACTCAATGGCAATAAGTGAGTGAGTAAATATATGACAGAAAAAATGCTGAACACTTTCTACAGATTACTTCATTCACCAGCACCTTCTCTGTAAATGGTTAACATATTGAAAGGCTCATGTCTACCCAGCAGCAACAACAACAACAACAAAAAAAGACTGCAATTTAATTCTGAAAAAAATTAGTCACTGGAAATCCTCTGGAACACAGTTCTACTCTGAAAGAGTTGGCGTCAGTCACCATGAGCTGGTGTTGATGCCACAGGAGCTATTTTTTCTGCTGGGCTCACATATAGTCCCTCTTGCCACGCTGCAAAAGAATGATCATAGTTCTAATCTCACCCTCACCACTTATCTCCATTAGTGTTAACCCCACTTGCAGGTGACACAGCTCTGAAGAATGCAGTCACTCTCCCAGGACCACAGAGCTGGGAGGTGACAGGGCTGAGATCTAGGCACTGAAGCTTTCTTTAAACTAATGCCAACATCTCTCTGACACCTGGCTTTCCTTCCACTTTGGTAGCCTCACAATTTGATATAATCAAAAGAGCCAATAAACATAAGTAAACATGTTTAAAAAAAAAAACCCAAAGCATAAACTCACCTCCTCTGGCTTGACTTCTGAGAAGAGTGCCTATAAGGCTTTTGTTTTAAGAGTTAAAAAATATATTCTCTAGAGTTTAGCCTCCCTGCTGAGATGCCAAGATTTCTAATAGTCTGTATCCTAGACCCAAGTAGGGAAGGTTGTGGAATCCAAAAGAGTTCAAGGTTATTGGAGAGCAAACAAATGAGAGAAGTGTCAGGAGATAGGCAAGGAATCAATCGTGAGCAATCTTGAATGCCATCTTGTGGCAAATTTACTTAGTTAAAGGAAAAAAAGGGGGGGGGGGAAGAAGACAATATACAATTTTTCTATTTCTTTTCAATTTCTACATGTCCAGTCTTTTGCAAGCACCATCTTGCAATCTCATCGCTAGCCACCTGGAGTGAGGTCAGCAGGTCCTACCTCCAAGTTTAGGAGTCCACGTGTTTCCCTCCACTTCAGACTCAAACTTATTGTCATCAAGTCAGAACCAAATCCTAGCTAACACTCCAGGAAGTTTTCAGGAGGCTGTAAAATTACACAGGAGGGTCCCACTGGTGCATTCAAATCACTACAGAGGCACCAATGGACTAGGCAACCAGAGCTCCTATCTCCTTAGACTCGTTTGTTGTTATACGCCATCACGTCGTCCGTGACCCCTAGTGACCCTGTCTATGTACAGCAACTGAACCCTGCCGTGTCCTGAGACAGTCTCACTGATTCCAACACACCTACTACCCCTCATGACCCCAGTTACTGAATCAATCCATCTAATCCCAGGTTTTCCTTTCCTGTACTGTCCCTACACCGTTTTGAGCATGATGTCCTTCTCCAAGGACTGGTCCTTCCTGGCCATGTGCCCAAAGTATGTGAGACAGAGCTTCAAAATCCTAGTCTCCAAGGAGAAACTTGGTTTCGCCCTCTCCAAGACAGACCTATTTGTTTTCTTGGTGGTGCATCTTAGTCATTCTCCAGTTGTCTGATGCATAGTAAGTAATTTGCGAAGACCATGGCCTGGATTAGGTGCACCCTAGCCTCTAGACTGACATCATTGCTTTTCAGTACTAGCTAGCATTAAATTTAAGAATCTTCTCTATGTGTCTCACTTGTAGTCTACCATAAGCTCAGAAGTCTAACCTTCTCTCCACTTAAGACTGTGTGAGAAGTAGCAAATATCTTACCACTGCTTTCTTTAACTGCATATATTAAAATAACTATGTATTTGTGTGTATTTTAATAGATAAAGAGGTCACACTTAAAAGGAGTGACAGTCAAGTCATACTTTACACAATGGTTATAGCCAAGGGAACGAAGGTAGCAGTTAACCTTTTCAGTTACATCCTTCTAAGTTGTTAAATATTTTTCAACAAGCAAGTATTGCTGGTAGCATGTTGGTTCAGGAGTTGCACTGGCAACTCAAAGGCATGAGATTTTTTTTTCTTGAGGGAAAAAAGATAATCTCCATCTAGTGTGATTTCTAGCCTCTGAAAACCTGCTGGAGGGTCAGCTATGAATCTGTTTCTCATAGGACTCAAGGACACACAACAACAATGTAGTGTTGGGAAATCTTATGTTGATCCTTCTTTGTAAATGGATCTTTTTTTTTTATTTCATTCTTAGGAGAACCAGTTCAGATAGCAGTGACTCTCGACATTGCAAGCATTTCTAGTATCTCAGAGAGTAACATGGTAAGTTACCACCTGAGGAGTCACTATGCTAGTGTTTAGTGGGGTTACATGTCCTGGTCATTCCTGGTAAGTCCTGGGTGACCACAATCACTTACCTCAGAAGCCATGTTGCACAGTGGATAACAAATTCCATTCCACCCACTGCCTACCTCCAAGGGGAATCTCACCTGCTCCTCTCTGCTCAGTTCAGACTTTCCTGTCCATAAAACCCCTCTCTTTCATCTTTACTCACTCAGGGCCAAATCAATACGTACCAGCTCCAAGCCCAAGAGTTCACATGTCCCCCTCCACTTCAGACCATCTGGCTCCTTCTCTAGTTCACCCTTAGCTGTCGGGGGCTAGATCCCAGTTCGCGGGACTTAGGGGCGCACATGTTTCCTCTTGTTCAGACTAACCAGCACCCATACACTTGGGTCCTATAATCCACTGGAATGACCCACAAAACTCACAGGAAATACTTCACCTGTGATAATAGCTTTAATATAACAAAAAAGGATACAAATAAAGAAATGCAGAAGGTAAGGTGTGGGAAGTATCCCAGTGCAAATATTCAAGAGCAAATGACCACTTTTACCATGGACTGGTGGCAAGAAGCTGCACTGCACTCCCAAAGGCACACACTTTGAACCCACCAGCTGCTCCACAGAAGAAGAATGGAAATCTCCTCCTGTGTGATTAACTGCCTCTGAAAACCCACCGCGGGGTCAGCTGTGGCTTAGTTCTGACTTGATGATACACAACAACAACAACCAACCATGAAGCTCTATCTGAGCCTTAGGACTTACTGGCCTCACCCCTCAAGTGAGCCTCTGTACTCTCAGAAGTCCCAAACAGAAGACCAAACTGCCATGGAGCAATTGTTCAATCAGTCTACGTTTTCACATATGTTTCCAGTCAACATTGTTGTTATTATATGCCATTAAGTCGCTTGAGCTTGGAACCTGGATCTATCCTGAACCAACTTTATTGTCTCTAACACACCTACCCCTATTACTCCAGTCACTGAATTAATCATCTCATTGAGGGTCTTCCTCTCTTGCATTGTCCCTCAATCCTCCCAAGCATGATATCCCTCTCCAAAGATTGGTCCCATCTCTATACCCAATGTATGTCAGATGAAGCTTCAGAATCCTTGCCTCCAAGGAGCAGCCTGGTTTCACCCTCTCCAGGACAAACCTG